AGATTAAAGGTTATGCCACCTACAGGGATATAGTAGCGCCAGACGAGTTGTTTTCGGTGATTCGGCGTCAAGTACCACAAGTCAGTCCAGTGGTGCTCTCTCCCTGTTCTCCTTGTCCTACCGGCAAATCGTAAATTTTGTTATATGCTTCTCAGTGGGATGTATGTTCATGTTCATGGCCTTCTTGTTCCTTCCAATGTAAGTACACTCATCATATCTATCTAATTACCATATGGGTATGATTACCATATGGGTATGATTACCTATAATTACCGTGTCATATGGGTCAGAATAGTGTTGCCAGCACGGTCGAAGGCAGGTAACGAACTTTGTGCACTGTAGGGTCGTAATTTCGCCGCAGAAGTTTGTCCTGTTATTTACTCTAGGTTGCCTGTCATGGATCACGGGATTGGGCACCCTCCAAGGGGCCGGAGCATTAGCCGCTGCTATGATGCAGAGGGAGCGTCTACCATTCTCCGTTGGGTATCTGGCTAGTCTTATAGGGACGATATATGCCACGATGATCGCGCATAGTTACTTGTTAACTATACTATTTGCGGGGTTCGAACTTGTAACCCTAGGCGCATTCATCATCTCATATTTCCCTGGAGGAATCCGGGTCCTAGGAGTTATAAAGGGCGTCATTGTAGACCGGGCCATGACCTGGATGGGCAGGGCTCCCCAGGCAATCTTGCCAATCTAACACGTGTTGTCATGTCCCAGGATATGCGTGTGGGCATTCACGTCGGAGACGCCGGCAGTCTAAGACATCATGCGTACAGTTATGAGACGGGTGGTAGCATGCTGAGAAAAGGCAATTGATGAATGCAAGGCAACCGAGGAGCGGTAGGCCATTGAGGAATTGAGGAACGGTAGGGAATAGAGGAACGGTAGGGAATTGAGGAACGGTAGTCAAGTGAGGAACGGTAGTCAAGTGAGGAACGGTAGTCAAGTGAGGAACGGTAGTCAAGTGAGGAACGGTAGTCAAGTGAGGAACGGTAGTCAAGTGAGGAACGGTAAACAATGCATCATGTACTCTTTTGGGACATTCTAACCACAAGTCAAACAGGTACGCTGCGACTTGCGGAAGCGGTATGTATAGGTACTTACACATCCATGTGGTAATAAGACCCGGTGCTGGGATCCACGAGCTGCACCGCAGCGGGTAAGTGACTGAGATTGGTCTCCAGCGAGAGAGCCAGTCCCCGGAGCAGGTCTGGCGTGGCCTGTCGTCGAATTAAGAATTGAAGCAAGGTTCCCAACTGAAGTTTTCTCATAGTGTAAGCACCGAACGGATTACCAAGCAACGTGTGCAACCTACGCAATGCCCGGTACGCTGTGTGTCCCCCTGCCAAAGCTTTGGTTGATAAAACCATCACGCTGGCCACAGTTTCCACTTTTTCTTTCGCAACCAACATTCTAGACAACACATCCGCACCCCGAGAAGCCAATGTACTCGCGGGACGGGAACCGTTTTCAGTGCTAGTGCCAGTAGTGCTTTGTCCCGTATCGTTTTGCCCCGTGTCACTTTGCCCCGTGTCACTTTGCCCTCCTAATCCAACTGCCGATAATATTGAGTCGATGTCGGACATTATTTCCGTCAGTGTAGCGACCCACGGCGGGTCTCTGGTATCGAGCGCCACATCACCCAACTCTCCCAGGCCTCCCAGATCCAGCTCTCCCAGGTCGAGGGAAGTCGGCAGCTCTGAAGGAGCGATGACTGTTGCGGACTGCGTTCCTGACAATTCCGAAATGGTTGGCCGGGGCGTAGAGAATTGCACCTGAGGCACGACTTCCTCCGCCACAAGCCGCTTAACCTGCGGACACAGGCTCTCGGCTTCCTTAACTCGTAAACTGGCTGCTTCCAATACTAGGAGCGTGGTAGACATGACAAAACACATATTCCGGCCTGAAAAAAATTGTTGCGGAAGTTTGTTGTCAAGATGGTGGGAACTATTGTGGCCGACAAGTCGATGCAGATGCGCGTAAGAAATTTGTCTAAAAACCCGGCCAGCACACACGTGTGTGCTAAATGAAATGCCTTCGTTTTAGTTGAAGCAATTCGTTGTTTCTGGCCGAGCGCTGCCTACGGAGCGTGAGCCGGAGCCCGCCGTATACCGCATGACCATTTTCGCCCGCGACTCTGTGGTTGCCAAGTCGCGCTACTGGTACTTCCGCAAGCGCCTGCATGGAGTGAAGAAGAACCGCGGTGAAATTCTGGACGTAGAGGTTAAACCTGAGGAGGAGACCGACGCCGTCAAGAACTACGGCATTTGGCTCAGATACGACTCCCGTACCTGCACTATAAACATGTACAAGGAGTTCAGAGACATCACCAAGGCCGGCGCGCTTTCCCAGATGTATAGCGAAATGGCGGGCCGCCATCGCGCCCAGGGCAGGTCCATCCAGGTCCTGAAGATTAAGGAGCTCACTGAGGAGGAGGTTAAGCGCCCCCAGATTCTCCAGCTCCTCCCTGCGGACCTCAAGTTCCCCCATGTCAAGAGACTTCCTCTCTGCAACAAGAACAGACGCACGAAGTTCCAGGCCAGAAGACCCACTACCTTCCACAACTAGAATTTTTGTTCTTAACGCTTGTGCGTGTCAACACTCCGCCCACTGTCTCAGCGTCCATTCCCGCGACTGCCTCAGGCAGAGTTTTACCGAAGCACCCTTTGTCCCAGGCCTCTCCTCTGTCATGGCGCCCACGCATTCCCCCCTGCGACCACTCCGTTCTTCCGCCCCTCTTCTCTACCACACGTCCGCCATGTAAGTTCCTACACTCCCATTCGCTCCCTACACTCTCCATTCTCTCCCTTGTGCCCGGATGTCTTGCCCCTCAGTCGCATGCAATGAAGTCTAACAAACACAGTCCGGATGGAACGCAGTTGAGGACGGAACAGGCAATAGGTCTCTTCAATGAGCTGTGGCGTGCGTCCGGCCCGGGGACGAATACCAGGTCGATCGAGACGGAGAACAGACTCAAGCCCTCGACCGGTCGAGACTCGGCCTCGACCCGGGATACGACTCACAACTCCAGCATCTTCGAAGACGCCTCCTCCCAAGATCGGGTTTCGGAACAAACATCTTCACCTTTAACCGGTGCTCCGCGAGCACCCGGACTCGGTTCCCTAACCTCCATGCTCATGGTCGGTCCCCATCTGCCGACTCGACAAGAACTTACGACAAACAGGCAACCTATGGTCTGCATGCTCTACACTCCGCCTAGCTTGAAACCCAGTTTCGATGGACTCCAATGCTATGAACGCTTTAGGGCACCCGTCATCCAAGCCCTTCCGGAACAAGCTCGGAATAAATTAACCAGGAGCACAGCAAATAGGAGCACAGCAAATAGGAGCACGGAACGGCGTACACCATTCCGCAACTTCCTCAGTCGATTCTTCAAGCCACAAACCATCCCGAGAGCAATGACTAACCGAGGAATGGCAGCCCGAGGAGTTGGTGGCCCTTTCGCTGGCGGCTTGCTCGGCAGCGCCTCCGTCCCCGTGTTAGGTTGGCATCTGCCGCAGATGACTCAAATCAGCCATGGTGTGGTTGATGGTGCGACCAGGACGGACCGTGTGGCCATTGGATATCCTGTGGGTGGTCACCAGGGTGGTCACCAGGGTGGTCACCAGGGTGGTCAGGTGGTGGTGGGCACTGGTACGATGGGCGGTCAATCGAGGCCGTTAGCGGAGATCAGGGCGAGAGAGGCGGCAGTAGATGAACATGTGTTATTCCTGGAACGGAAGATTGGGGAGTGTAAGCGGTTAGCTCTTGAGGAGTTGAAGAAGACAGAGGCTCTTGAAAACCAGGCGGTGGCTGACGCGGCACGATTTGACGCCATCCTGACGGAGTGGGAAAGGTGTGCCGCCGAGGCGCATAGTCGCTATGCTGAGGCGCAGACGGACATAGGAAACGCTGTCATGTTACAGCAGGCACTAGAACGCGCCCGAGACGAACAAGCGGTTGTCCGTGCCGAGTGGGAACGAAAGGTGGCTGAACAAAAACGCCAAGCTAAGGCTATGCACGAACTTGAACAAGAACTTAAACATGAAGCAGCCAAACAAGGAGAGCAAGACACCATACGACAGCTCCATGCAGAGGTACGCGAAGAAGTCAAGGAGCAGACAGAACAGGCGGAGCGCAAGCACAAAAAGAAAAAAAAGAAAAGTCATGCTCAGTCGGATGACGCAACTCTGATAATCCTAGACACGGCAGTAGACGTTCCTATCCGCTCAGCTTCTCCCATCCGCTCAGCTTCTCCCATGCGCTCACCTTCTCCCATCCGCTCAGCTTCTCCCATGCGCTCACCTTCTCCTGCCCCGCAGCCAGACTTCATCCTCGTGCAGGCCGTAGAGGAAGAGGCACCTGAGACTAAACCGGCCGAAGCAGAGGCAGGACATCCCATAGAAACAGCCCAGACAGCTGCTAACCCAACAGCCGCTAATCAAACAGCAGAGACCGAGATAGCGGAGCGTTTGGTCCACGAATTGTTGGGTGACGTCCTACTCAGAACCGATGGTGGACCGGACAAAGAAACCATCGCAGGCGGTTTCGAAAGCCTCAGCACCGACCAGCCGCCAGACATCACCGTACTCGACATCAAACCCGTCCTCCTGGCCGCAAGCAAACCCTCCGTCAGCCCTGGCCCTCTCGTGGCCGATGCGTCAGACATCCACGAAGGACGCCCCAACCATGTCGGTGAAAACGAACATGCCGGTGAAAACGGCAGTGTCAATACAAACCACCGCTCAGATGAAAATGACGACGATCTGAAAGATCAAGGCAACTCCGCACCAACCCACGTTGAGGACGACCCAGTACCCGCCGAAACATCGGATCTGTAGGGTCCTACGGATGCAGCACCCTCCGAGTGGACCTTCGGGATGTGACTCTCGTAAAGGCGACTCCCATCCCCTCGATGGGAGTCGCCTTTGAAGACTTTTTTTCCCGCCAACGACTTTTCATGTCCTCATCCGGCCCACCAGGTAAAACAGCACAACTTGCAGTCCCGCCCGTGACTTCAACACACGTCCACTCACGCGGCCGTCGGTCGTGTGGTTGGTGACAGACAGTAGATGTAGGCGATGAAATGTTGTTTGGCGAGGATTCGGAGCCGCCTTCGTCGCCGGATGTGCGTTCTCCGGCGCAGTCTTCGTGGAAGCAAGATTCTTCAATAGATAAAGTAGTTAGTGACGAAGGTGAGGCGGGGGGTGCGAAGAGGAAGCGTCGGGCGAAGGAGGGTGGTGGTACGCGGAAGCGGCGGAAGAAGGAAAGTAGTGACGATGACGACGACCGTGACCGGTTGTTCAAAGATTGGTTCCAAGCGGAGTCTCAGACGGCCTTATCGGGGGTTGGTCCGGAGGAAGGGGGTGGTCGCAAGCGCAGGAATAAAAAGGACTCTGAAGCGGAGGACTTGGATTCGCTCTTCGTAAACGGAACGGATGAGAACGCAGTTAGGGGTGATTTGCAGGCTCGAGAAGAGGAGATAAGACTTCGTAAAGAGCACTTCCTGCATCAATTAAAGAGGGACCAGCGTATCCGAGACAAGGTGAGAAAACGGAATGAACTTCTGACACTACGTACTGCTATGGTACTTCTCAGCAAGGGCATCCCTCGATGGACTCGTGACTCCGTCGACTCTTTGCCCGAATATAATGAAGATTATGCCCTTGTAGACTGGCCTCTGTATGTGCGCACTGGCCATCTCTTCGACACCACCAATGCCATCAAGACACTCTGGGTCAACTCCTGCGTGTTTCCTCCCGCCCGGGAAACCCTGCAGACTGACGCACCTGCCTCGGCCCCCGCACCTGCCTCTCAAGACCCGCCTTCCTCGCAACCCACACCCGAACCGCCTACCACCAGACCGCAGACTACTGGAACGCAGATTACCGGAACGCAGATTACCGGAACGCAGACTACCGGAACGCAGACTACCGGAACGCAGACTACCGGCAAACCCCCTTTCCCGTACCCTCCTGCCAAACAGCAACGAATGGAGACACTTGTCAGCGACCGGGATACTGGTGCTCGTGTTGACGCTCTGGAGCGCGAATTGCGGCTCAAACGTCGGGCCATCGTCGAGTGGGCACTACCCCAGATCGGGACCTCCAGGCAAGCCGTTATCAACAAACTACTCGAAACTTCCAACCTTGCCACCTACCCTCTCCCAGCCTGTCTCCTGGTGACTGACTCGCATGGAATCGAAATCAAGCAGTAACAAGCACCCCCAACCCGGGTTCCCCCCCGCCCACCCTGGTTCCGCCCAACCACTCTGGTTCCCCCAGCATCCATACAACACGACATAGCACACACTCCGTCCCACCACACGTTGTCCTACGTTCGACAGGTTTGTGCGGCACTCGTTTGCGGAGGTGGCGGAGGAAATTCTTTGTGGAGTGCGGGAGGCGGAAAGTGCGTCAGCGAGTGCCTCTGCCTCTGAGCACGACGAGGAGGGGGACGACGAAGGGGACGGTGACGGCAGCAGCGAAGACGACCTGGTGTCCGAATCGGGCGACGGCGACCCGAAAGGTGAAGCCACGCAGGCGGCCGAGGAGACGAAGGCCGGCGAAGCCATGAAGGCGGGCGAAGTGGCGAAGGCGGGTGAACCCAGGCAGACGGAGACGGGAGACGGCGAGCCAGCGGCCGGTGCCATCATGGCCCGGCGACCCGGACGGCACCCGAAGACGGGTGTCTTCTGTTCAGACTCGGAGGGGGGAATCGAACGCGTTTCTCGCGACCAAGGCTTGATCGGCGGACAGAAGGAGGCAGAGATAGAGCTAGCGGGGAAGGATGTATCGGTGGAGGAGGTATCGGGGGAGGAGGTATCGGGGGAGGAGGTATCGGGGGAGGAGGTATCGGGGGAGGAGGAAGTGGAAGCACGGGGGCAAGACGCAGTTGAGGAGGAAGCGGAAGCACAGGCGGTGGCGGAGCGCGAGACGCAGAGGCGCGCGGCGGCGGAGCGGTTGAAGAGGCGGATGCGTGAGGCGCTTGCGGCAGACGCCCGGGTTGGTGGTGCCCGAGGGTCGGGAGGGCGTTTCGTGGAGAGCGACGTGGAGGTTGAGGATGGGGATGGGAAAGGGGGTGGTTCGGAGGATGTGTCTGATGGTGAGGTGGATGAGGTGTTGGGTATGTTCGAGTTCGATGAAGCGAAGATCGCGGAAGAAGAAGGTGACGAAGCAGCGGCCGCTGCTTTATTACGAGAACAGTTGGCCGAGAGGGACCAAGCGGTATACGATCGTCTCTTCAAACGACGGACAACGCGACTGGATGGGGAAGAGACGTCTGGTGGTATGTCGGTTGCTGGAGTGAACGTGCGCAGACGTGATGAAACTGAAATTAGCATTGGCCGGGACTGGGGTCGGGAATTGGACTGGAAGATGAATGAAGACGGCGCAGACCCCCTTAGGAGTGGAGGAGACGGATGTGCTGCAGACGGGTATGTTGGAGCCGACTATGACGAAGATAGCGAGACGAGTGCGCGGGAAATTGACGAAACTAACATCAAGATACGATGCACCACTGCGGAAGCAAACAAAGCCATTGACCTCAACGCCTACGTGGTCAAGGAGGGCGAGGAACTAGACCTACTCCAACGCATCCTCAATTCAGAAGCATGAGAGAAACCAGAATGAAATCCGATACCGGAGTTCCTTCATATTTGGGTCCCTTCATATTTGGGTCAGGATTGGCTGAAGTTTCCTTAACGTGTTTAACCTCAACATGTTAGTGTCAGAAAAAAACGTTAGGACTCGACATGGGGTTCGACCTTCCAGGCAGACCTTCAGACCAGCCCGATCCACCGCTGCAGCCAATCTTCCGTCCTACAAGTGACAGTCCCAAAGCCTTTGCCCAGATCCCCTAGCTCTCTACCCAAAACCTCTTGTCCTTGTTCACAGTGCTTTTGTGCAGTTCGTGAGAGAGTGTCCGTGAGAGAAAGGCCGTGAGAGATCTCGGCAAGCGTAAATTTCGGCGGCATGGATAAATGCTGAGAGGGCATTTTTTATTTCAATGGTGTACCTTCTGGCCGAAACTCCTCAAGGGTATGGCCTCTTTAAGATGGCAAAGGATTCCTTGCTGGAGGTTACCCCGGAAGACATAAGAGACAGGTTTAAGGATGCTGTGTCAACGAAAGACTCGTGAGTGACTTTACTAAGAATGTGTCTGGGAAAGGTGCCATTTGTAGCTGCGCTAGTGACTAATAGCAGTGTGGTAGCTGTGACAGTGACAGTGACTGGTAGCTGTGAGGGGGAGGGTCTGTTTGTGTAGTGGCTACATTATAGTTGTGTCGTAGGATTCGATTGGAATCTTTCCGGCGTTTTAAAGATATGAAGGAGGCCACGGAAGAGGCGATAAAGATCCAGGAAGGGGCGATTGGTTCAGTGTTGAAGTCGTTTTTGAAGAAGTCGTTGCGCAAGAAAGGTGACGATGTGACGCTGGCTGTGTGGGATAAAGTGCTTGCTGGTAATATCAAGAAGAAGTTTGATATTCAGGTGGTGCTGAGTCCGACGGTGCATGAGATATTCCGGACGGTTCGCGAGTACATGAGTGAGCTAGTGGCAGATTTGGATGATAGCACGGCAATGGGAATGTCATTGTCTCATTCGTTGTCTCGCTTCAAGTTGAAGTTCTCCCCGGAGAAGGTGGACGTGATGATCATTCAGGCCGTGGGTCTGTTGGAGGACTTGGATAAGGAGGCCAACAACCTGGCGATGCGACTAAAGGAGTGGTACGGGTTCCATTTCCCGGAGTTGTTGAAGATCGTGGATAGCAATCAGGCCTTTGCGAAGTGTGTGCTGAAAATTGGGTACCGGACGAACGTCAAGACTGTGGATAGTTTCAATGACTGTGAGCTGAGTGATGAGGTGGAGACACAGTTGCGGAATGCTGCCGAAACATCCATGGGCTCAGACCTGGTCGATGAAGATTTGGCATGCATTAATGAGGTCGCGAATCGAGTGCTTGCCATCTATCAGTATAGGGAAGAACTAACCGACTACTTAAAGAAGCGTATGGAGGCTATAGCACCCAACCTCACTTACCTCGTAGGAGAGATTCTCGGTGCCAAGCTATTGGCCCAAGCCGGCTCTCTCTCCGGGCTTGCCAAACAACCCGCTTCGACCGTGCAAATTCTGGGCGCTGAAAAGGCTCTTTTCAGAGCTCTCAAAACGAGATCCAACACACCCAAATACGGGCTTGTCTACCACGCAAAGGTGGTCGGCCAAGCCCCTCCCAAGATCAAGGGGAAAATGTCTAGAGTCATTGCCAACAAAATTGCACTCTGTGTCAGAACGGACGCCTATGGTGAACCAACCGAACCAGGCGTAGCAGTCGGGGCCAAGGCCTTCTGTGAAAAGCGCCTAGAACAACTTGGAGAAGAAATGGCCAACTCTGGCAATGTCAGCTTCCGAAAATTCGCCACACAACATGCACAAAAATACACTCCCTCCAGACTCAGGAACAAACCCGACCAGGCCTAACACCCTACATCACCAGCCTCCCTACCCTTCTTACCGACAACCTTACAACTCTTCTTGCCGACAACCTTATTACCCTTCTTACCATCAACTTTCTACAGCTGAACATGATTCTACAATCAGATTTTCTACTAAGTCGTCTGGAGAACATTTCAACACACTCTTTGGCGGTGGTTCAACGCACTCTTTGGCGGTGGTTCAACGCACTCTTTGGCGGTGGTTCAACGCACTCTTTGGCGGTGGTTCAACGCACTCTTTGGCAGCTACTCGTCGATGAGGTTCTTGGTAGGTCCCTGGTGTGGGGCGCTTTGAGATGCGTTCAGATTGGGGGCCAAGCACTTTTTTTCATTTAATTTGGCATGATGGGCATGTTCGCAGTGGGTCTGGAGTCGGACTCCGCTTCGTCCACAGCGTCAGCAAAGCCCGTATCTCCGCCTATATCAGCCAGAAGAGCAAAGTGTTTTAGTAAGCTCGCTGGTACCAGGATAGAGGTATTCATCAGGGACGGCGCAGTAATCAGAGGCATCCTGGCAATTCATGGTAACCATTCCCGACTATCATTCCCCCACTCCCTACAATCATTTCCCAACAGTCATTCCGGCCTCCCCTCATTTCCGACCGGCTTCCTCTCACTCGTGATTGGGTTCTTTTCCCGTTTCCGCTGCCCTTTCCTGGCGCTTTTGGCTTTCGTCATTTTGCGCAATTTCTTGAGCACACGTGTGCGCTGTAGGCAATCAAGCGCTGTATCCGTCGGAATGGGGCGAATTGCCTTTATCAGGTGAGGAATTGAGTCGGGGCATGCGTTATGTGCGCGCGTCTACCCCAACGGAGGAAGGTTGGCGAACAATTGTTGGTCGTCGTGGGCGGCGACAACAAGAAGGTCGTTTTGAAAAGTTGGTGAAGTTGGACTCACCGATGTTGTGGCTGCGGCGCGCGCAGCGGCGGCCAAGTACGACCAACCCGTCGAGTGCGGTGTATGAGTTGCTGGCGATAACATGGCGCGATATCCAGGGGTTGACGGGCACGATTGTGGATCAGAAGAAGCGCGGTAAGTTGCCGGCGGTCGGTGCATTTCAGACGGACACGCAGATCAGTGGCACCGAGTGCGCTAGCAAAGAGAAGGTTTTGAAGAAATGGGTTGATGAGACCAACGTCGGATCCAACGGTGAAGACGACGCCAAGGAGTGGGTCGGCCTTGGAGACGAGCCGCAGCCCTGGAACCAATTCGAAGAGAACAGCCGTATGTTCGGCGTTAAAACCACCTACGACGAAGAGCTCTACACCACGCAACTTAACGTCAAAGATATCCCCGAAGACGTCCAGCGGAAGGCCGCTGAAATTGCCGCCGAAATGAATGGTGGTCGCCACAGAGACGAAGACGAAAACGAGCAGGACGAAGAAAAGAAGTTCTCCGCTGTCGCCGGCACTGGCGGCTACAAAGTGCGAGGCAGTATGGCCAATGACACCCGTAGCGGCGTTGACAATCTCCGAAGCAACCCCGATAATGCGCGCGGCGGTCCCGACAATGCGAGAGGTGCTGGTTCCGGTGATAACGCGCCTCATGGTCGAGGTGTTGGGCCCGACCACGGCCGAGGCCCCGACAATGCCCGTGGCGGCCCAGGTAACCCCCACAAAGGTCCTGATAACCCTCGCGGTGCTCCGGATAACCCCCGAGGGGGGCCGGACAATCCCCGCGGCGACCCGAGACACGCCGGCGCCGCGGTGGATGGCTCTTCTCGCAACTCGGAAAAACGCCGGACCAAACGGGACAGTACCGCCCTTCACGAACCGCCCCACGAAGTGCGACCGAAACACGCCGCCGTGTTTCGAACGCTTGACCGACGGCTGCCGAAAGACAACATCAACGCACTTAACCTCGAACCGATCAAACGAGGCGCCGTCTCGCGCAACGGTGTCTGGGGACGAGTTAGCGCGGACAAGGAGCCCCAGAGCCGCATCAAACTGCTCGAAGAGTTCAGCAAGTGTGCGAAAACCATACAAAGCAAAATGGAAAAGTAATCTCACCCCCCCCCTGTCGGCCTTCCCTTCCATTAGGTTTTGTGTGGTAGGAAAGGGTGGACTTCGCCGACAATGAGTGGGTCAGCACCGGCTGCGGCGCCGGCGAAGAAAGAGGAGGCAGTGGCGGAGACGCCTTCAGCGCCGCCGGGGCGGACGCCGACGGTGGTGGAGAGTGGAAGTCCCGTAGCGTCGCGGCGCGAGGACAGTTTCCAGTTCAACCCGAACGCGAATTCGTTTACGCCTAAGGGTGAGGCAGTGCCGGTGGCGCCGCCGCCTCCGCAGATGAAGGACTCAGCGATTGGGGCATCATTGGAGGCGATTGACGGTGCCTTGATTCACTCCGCGAGTAGTTGTTTCAATCCACCGGTTTGGGGGCCGCGGATGGCCATGTCTTACAACGATTGTTTAGCAGCGCCCGTGAGTTACCCTTTCGGCGGCTACGGCGAAGTGGCTTACGCGCCCGTCGAGTTCGCGCCAAAGGACCCCGCGATCGGACAGCTGCAGCCGGTGGTAATGGGCATGGGTGGCTATCCCGGTCCTGCTGGTCCCGGCCCTGCCGGCTACCCAGCCTACCCCTACCCCGTATACTGCTGCGTCCGCGAGGACTGGATGGTCCCCAACCATCCCACCGCTGTGCTCTACTCGCGACCTGCCGCTGCCGGCGCGTTCGCCGCCGATCACAGACCGGCTACCGCCGCCGGCCCACCACCTCCCGAAGCAATATAGTCAGCGGACGCATGGCGGTATGGGGCGGGCAGCGTGGCGGGCAGAAAATTAGGCAGTTTCTCAATGGAGTAGCCTCACCAATAGAGCAATATAAGTTTTAGTCCCAGCCAGGGTAAACGTGCACAACCATCTATCTGGCAGGGTTATTTTGTGCCGTTCTACTCGGGTGTTGGTAGAAGTGCGGTTATTCGTCTTCTCCCCAGCAGCGGTGGCCCTGAAGCGGCAGCGGTGACCCTGAAGCGGCAACCCACTCTCACTTCGTTTGGGATCTCATGTTTCGTTCTGTGCAATAAAAATGTCACTTCTTCAAGCTTCGGAGCAACAATATAGATCCCGCCGCGATCGAGGCCACAAGCAGCGGGTTCTCTGCGACCCAGTTGCTGATGGACGACGTCCAGGTAGGGGGCTGCACCGGAGCAAAGTCGTCCGGGTCCTCCTCCACACGCTCTCGTCGTTCAGGTAGTTTCTTGCCGCTGTCGCTCATGGCCGAATTTTTCTGCTCAAAAGGAGACGGCCTCTGGGCTTCTAAATCCGGGGTTCGGTTCCCGCGGCGGTTTAGCACACTCAACGGAATCGGGCTGTCGGTGCTCAATCTCCGTCGGGACGGAGACTGGTGAACAAAGTCGTCAAGGAAAGTTATATTGATCTTTTCAACCCAATGTTTTAGCAATGCTCTGTCGGGAGAAGCTGTTTTCACCTCTTCTCCGCCAGAGATCAAGTTCCTATCGATTTCAACGGTCCTGACTGACGGAAGGTCGGCCAGGGAAATGTGTTCGATTTCCAGCACGCGCGTGTCTGAAAATCTCGGATTATTCAGGAATGTCTCGTAAACTTGTTTTTTAAGCATGTCCGAACCCACGTCCTTCACCATGTACGTATCCTTTACTTGGTAACCTAGTCGGCGGTAATAATTTCGGGTGCCGATGCCAGCGATGATGGCGAGCCGCTCGGCGCCTTTACTGAGAGCGAGGACCTCGGCGGCATGCATCAAAGCTGAGCCGTATCCGGAGTGCTGCGCTCGATTGTCCCCAGCGTTTTTGTTTTCCGTGGTTGAGACGAGCATACCGTAGACGTGGAGTTCTCTGATCATTGCGCAACGATGATTTAACACTTCGTAAGGCGATTTGACCGTTCCATTGTACTCCTGTCCGTCGCTTGTAAGGTTGTTGTCGCTTGTAAGGTTGTTTCCGCTTGCTCGCAGAGTCGATTCGGTGTCTGTGCTACCGGAAGCAGCAAAATTGGGTACCCGGAGTCGCAAGAAGCCGGCGAGGTGTTGGCGATCTTTGCTCTCGAATGAGATAAAGTACTCCATTGCACTGTTGCCTCCGTTGTATGCCCGAATGACTAGTTGGACGTCTTGTATTTGTTGTTGTCTAACTTCGCGGCATCTCATACAAGAGCAGGACCATCCGTGCCGTTTGGTTACAACGCCAATGATTTGTCTCAGGTTAGTCATATTGTTCCCGGCGATGATGGACTGGTTGGGGATGTCTCTGATGATGCGGTTGAGTCGTATCCAGGGGTGAATTCTTTTCTTAACTTTTAATATGAGTTCAATCAAATCTTTCTGCCCCTCTTCACCCTCGCTGTAAGGACAATAAAGTCCCTCTTTGTACCACTCGGAAATGGTGGTAAATGGAGTAACCTCGCACGGATAAATCTTCCACTGATCAGCCTGCAATTCCGGATCTTGGATTACACGGTCAAACATCAACTCGTCTATCCTCACGCTACTACCAGGGAGATCCGGCATCAGATGAATATCCACCTTGTAGCAACTGTTCTTCAACAGCGCTAACGCTCGCTTTACATCAGCCACACCATGTCCTCGATTGATACCTAATAAAATCGACTCATCTGTATGCTGCACACCTAACTGCACACGAGTGCATCCATAGTATCGTAACCGCTTGATCTCTTCCGCTGTAATAAAGTCCGGACGTGTCTCCAAAGTCAACCCAATCACTTTCACTGAACAAGACTCATTAATCTCCTGCTCCTCCTCCAACGACAGTCGGTCTCGGAAACTTTTCGGCACCTGGAATACTGGAGACAGATATGCTTTCTTCCCGGCCGTACCGCAACCCATCGTAGCGACATCCGCACCCATCGTAGCGACATCCGCACCCATCGTAGCGGCCACCTCCTTGTGTGCCACCTCCTTGTGTGCCACCTCCTTGTGTGCCACCTCCTTGTGTGCCACCTCCTTGTGTGCCACCTCCTTGTGTGCCACCTCCTTGTGTGCCACCTCCTTGTGTGCCACCTCCTTGTGTGCCACCTCCTTGTCTGTTACCAGCATTTCGGCTTCAGCAGCTAAAAAGTCCTGGAACATATTTGCGGCGTAAAACAGGTCTCGGCAAAACTCCTCCTGGTATGATTGTTTGTAGCCACTCCAAGTACCTCCCAATACGAGGATTTCAATCTTGTCAATGATATGACCGTTCTTATGTAGGGTCCGAGCACGATCCCAAAATTGCACGGCAGCATCCCATCCACACTGATTAGCTCGCAAAACAGCCGGCTCTGTCGACAAATAACTTCGAGGCTGACCAGGCTCATTTGGACAGTAATAACAATCATGCGGACAACTGAACTTACCGGGTGAAGTCAACACAGTGATAACTGCAACACCACTACTCGTACGTACCGCTCGTCGTAGCAGCAACTGTTCTAACTCCAGACTCTTCTTGAACAAACCGCAACCACAGCTCTGCAACGTCAGGGACTTGTCACAATCTGGAATCGTGGCTTTTTCCGGAACTGCTAACGGAACCGTGGTCTCATCTAGGTCCAAGCTTCTTTCTAGGTCCAAGCTTCTTTCTAGGTCCAAGCTTCTTTCTAGGTCCAAGCTTCTTTCTAGGTCCAAGCTTCTTTCTAGGTCCAAGCTTCTTTCTAGGTCCAAGCTTCTTTCTAGATCCAAGCTTCTTTCTAGATCCAAGCTTTTTTCTTGGTCTGGGGCCTGGCATGGGCAGCGTTCATGCAGAAGAAGTTTGATAGCGATAGCTAGTTGCGCCTTGCTCGGGTGCACTTTGAGGTCCTTCCTGATATTTTTCATCGCCTTCTCAAGCTGGTTGCCAGTGGTGATGTTGTGGTCGGTGAGAAGTCGTCGACAAAAGGCTTTTACCTCTGGTGCGACCTCGGCCACCTCCGTTTCGAAGTTCTTCCATTGCATCATCGATTCACGAAATGAGAGCAAATGCTTCCGACGATGCTCGTCTTTCAAGTCTTCGGCCGTGATACAAGCGACCTCACCCGCAGGCTCCGAAGTATGGGTGTACAAATCGGCCCACTCGTCCATATTTATATTCGCCGCCACATCCGCGTCAGTCATTTTGCCGCGGGCGAAATTTGCACCCCCGTCCCGCGCCACGCAACTTGGGATGTGGATGTGGATCAGAATGTACCTACTCTAGTCGGTCTTGATTATCGTCCTATCCATAACCTCTTCTTCCCAGTGGTGGGTGTGGGTGTAAATGCGAGTCTTGTCAATGAGTGATGGTCATGTCATCGCAGGAAGCACACCAAAATAGATTTGATGGGGGTTTGGTTGGTGGGGTGGGGTTTTGGTTGGTGGGGTTGGAGGGACAGAACTTTGTTTGGTCTGGGGTGTATTTATTTTTGCAGGGCTAGGGCAAGGATGTCCTCGAACGCAGACGATGAAAATGTTGAGCAATGGAAGATTAAGAGACTCATAAAGCAGCTGGGACAGAGCCGTGGAAGTGGAACATCGATGATTTCTCTGGTCATTAAACCCAAGGATGATATTTCACGTATTAACCGCATGCTTACAGAAGAATATGGTACTGCTTCGAACATCAAAAACCGTGTTAACCGTCTATCCGTACTCTCCGCAATTTCCTCTACTCAACAAAGTATGCATCACGGGAACCAAGTCGCATCACAGGAACCAAGTTAAGTGCACTTCTGGTCGACTAGGGTGGTTATATGGGGTTGCCTTTTGTAGAGCTGAAGAAATATAACAGGACCCCACCTAACGGTTTGGTTATATATTGCGGCACTGTGTTAACGGAGGATGGTAAGGAGAAGAAGGTTAACACTGATTTTGAGCCATTCAAGCCGGTCAACACATCGCTGTATTTATGTGACAGCAAGTTCCATGTGGAGCCTTTAATGGAGTTGTTAGAATCGAATGACCGTTTTGGATTCATTGTAATGGATGGTAGTGGTAGTTTGTTCGCAGCAGTTCAAGGTAACAATCGGGAAGTACTACACAAGTTCAGTGTTGACTTACCCAAAAAACATCGAAGAGGTGGTCAGTCTTCGGTTCGTTTTGCCCGATTGCGAACGGAGCGGCGTCATAACTATGTTCGACGAGTGGGTGAGATAGCAACTACGCTATTTATTACTAATGATAAGCCGAATGTGACCGGTTTGATATTAGCAGGAAGTGCAGATTTTAAAACAGAGCTCGCTCAATCCGATTTGTTGGACCCTAGACTGGCGTTGAAGGTTATTAAAATCGTGGATATTGCATACGGGGGTGAGAATGGTCTTAATCAGGCTATAGAGATCAGTCAGGATACCCTCAGCAACGTAAAACTTGTTCATGAAAAGAAGATTATATGTCAGTTCTTTGACGAAGTTGCAACAGACTCAGGAAAATACATTTATGGAATTCACGATACTATCAAAGCACTCGAAATGGGATGTGTTGAAATACTTATTGTCTGGGAGAATCTTACTACTGAACGACTTGTCGTACAGGATACTATTTCCAATGAACAAAAAATTCTATACATTGATGCTGACCCTACTGGTAGGACTACCATTGCTGATAAACTTAAAGAACATGAAAGCCAAGGGGATTTAGAGGTCGTCGAAAGAATGCTCCTCGCCGAATGGCTGGTACAAAATTATCAAAATTTCGGCGCAGAAATGGAATTTGTTACGACCGCTTCCCAAGAAGGATCTCAATTCCAGAAAGGCTTCGGTGGCCTCGGAGGTATCCTCCGGTACAAGGTTGACTTCGCCGAAATGGAGCCCGAATATGCCGATGACAGCGACGATGATTTCATGTAATTCGCTTTTTATTTCGCGCGCGCGCGCACACGCACACACAACTGATTTGATTCATCTAATGCGCTCAAATGAAATTCTTGATTACCTTCAGAAACAGGTAGCTGTCAACTCGCTTCTATCACTTCCCCCCTTGTCCTTCCGGCTTTGTCCGCCCGCCCGGACGGAGTAGCCGGACGGAGTAGAGGACCGTCCGGCTACTCCCCTCCGCCCGAGTCCACGTGACATACCCCCGTCGCAAGCGCCAGCGCTATGTTACACGATATGTTACAGATGCGTCCTTACAACGTCCAGAACGTGGTGGATAATCTAAGGGGGCGATTCTCCAAAAAGGTTGTGCTCCAGACGCTCACCGAGCTTGCAGACGACGGATTGATTGAGCGGAAGATGTATGGCAAAGTAGCCATGTTTGTTGCTCTGCGACCGGGGAAAGGTGAGTCCCCCCAAATAGATCCGGCAGAAGAAATGGAGCTCGAGAGTCTTCGAGACCGCAAAGCAGCACTGGAACATCAAGTGCAAATGCTGCGGAAAATTGAACGGCAAAACCGTGTGGATCCAGCCATCATTCTCCGCTCGCTGCGGGCACGTGTCCAAGCTTTAGACGAAAACCTTCGAGCTGTGAAGGCCCAGCTAGCAAATGAGTTTCCTGACGTGGAATTGGCAAGACTCCTCGCCTTGAATGAAAAGTACACCAAGTTACAATCCATACGCGCGGCACTGACGCCGCCAGCGGAGCCCTAAACGGATAGTGTGTTCACGAGTTATGGGTGGTCATTGCGCGTCTTCTGGAGCCATGGTCAACTCCTCTTCGGGCAAGTCCCAAATGAGATCCGGGATGCCTACTGCGGCCGGATCCGGGTCGGGGTTGTGACGAGGCACAGGATGGCCCCATTCATCGTGCCAGTCTGCAACCGGTGCCGGCACGACAGACGAATTCGGCGGACGGGTCGATTTGGTGCCTGGCGGTGTGGTGGGCATGGTCTGGTAGTAGCTGGGGTCGTCTTCGGTGCTGTCCGCTCCCACGCTATCCACCTCTTCCGTCTCCATCGCAAACACCGGGTCCACGTTGTGGGCAGGTAATTCTTGCAATTTGCGTGAAATTTTGCGTTCACCTTCTTCGCGGATAGAGGTGACCTCGGCGGCTTTCGGTAAGTCGTAGGTATTGGCGGCGTATCCTGCGAGCTTTTGGTCCTCGAAGGGGTTGAAGATATCCATGACATAGGGAGCCCGGGCGCGGATTTCGAGGTCTGGTTTTGGCAGGACACCAAGGCGTTGTGCGCGGTTGCTGACTCGGGCGGAGAGGCCTTCGAGCGGTTTGCCGCCGAGTTTGTAGACGACGTCCCCGAGCACGACGTTGTGAGAGAGTTTGGCGACTTTGAGGAAAGTGCGTTCGACGATGAGCAGTAGAGCGGACTTCCATTCCACATCGTCAAGACAGCCTTGGTAAGGAAGTGCGGTGGTGTATACCTGTGTCATGAGGCGTTTCGGAGTGCAGGTGCCCTGTTTGAGGCAGTATCGGAGGTAACCGTCGATGCGTGCGTGTACGGGTCGATAGTTGGCGAAGAGTGCAGTTCGGCGTTCGCTGACAGTGAGGGCTGAGGCAGCGCGACCGGCTGCGGCTGCAACGGCTCGTGTGTGGAGCGCGTCTAGGAGGAAAGCGGACACGTCTCCTGCTTCATCTTGGTAGCTGCACTGGAGTGCGACGGCGGAGGCGAGGCGTTCAATTTCTGCCGAGGGTACATCCTTCTGCGGCTCGATGTCAGCGATAACTCGTTTGTAGCCTTCGAACGCGCAGTCGGCGAAGGTTTCGGGCGCGGCGTCGCCGAACTCGACGGTCTCGTCGGGTGTAGAACAGGGCACACCTGATCGCACGCGCGCAATGTAGCGGTCCAAGCTGGCGCTTAACTGCGCTGCACCCAGATAACATTCGCGAGCCTCGTGGTCCCAGAGCGAGTGCATCCGTCCTAGTCGCTCCCAAAGTGCGGCCGCCTGCACCTGGCCGAGTGTCGCACAACTCGCCTCTACGCCTTTGAGTGCGCGGTCCGCTGTGCGCGTGTACCAACTGTCCAGCATCGCTGCGTCTAACACACCCCAGCGAGCCTCCTGCCACAATGCCACTACGCCCTGTCGCTCGCACACCGATAATGAGCCCATCCCGTCAAGCCGTGCACGGGCGTCGCTCTCAGTCGACAGGAATGAAGGCAACCCCGCCGGCGCCTCCTCTACTCCGAAACCGCCCAGCAGACCACCTAGACCCAGGCCCAAACCGGCCGAGGCCAAGCCACCACTGCCCAGAGAAGGCCCGCCCGCCAAGAGGTCCAGCGTTTTCATCACACGCTTCTTAAGCGTTCCACCCAACGCGGGCATCCACGGCAAGTCCGCGATCTGGTCCAGTCGCCCGGCCACTTGCCGGAAGACCGGCACTTCATCGACGGCGTCTGCTGCGTCCCCAACAATCGCCCGGCTGGAGTCCTTGGCGACGACCGCCGACGGCGGCGGCGGCTTGGGGCTTTTGCTATTGGGGACTACCCCCGAGAACGCCGGACCGTTTGTCGTGGCGCCGGGCGGGTCTTTGGTGAGTTGGTCGAGCATTTCGTGGAAGCTGCGACGGTAGTCAACGGCGTCGGGCTCGTCGACGTCGGACGTATCCACGACCTCCTGTAGACGGCTGTTGATGAGATACTGCTCCAGGCGTTCGCGGTCGCCGTCGACGTCTAGGCCCGCCTCCTTTTCCTCGAGGATGGTGAGTTCGTAGTCGAAGTCCGCAGGACAGGTGGCGTTGTGAATCCAGCCGTTGGAGGCTGTGGGTGACCGTACGGTGTTCCACTGTGTGCGGCTACGAGGCGCCGGCGTGCTCCAGCTGTACTGTTCCTCGGCACTGCGGACAGGCGCGGTCGAGGCGGAGTTGGGAGAGGTATCCGCCACGGGCAGGTTGGGGAAGAGTTCCTCGACGACGGTCCGTAGCCGGTCGTGGTGGTGGTGATGTTTGGGGCAGTCAGCGTCGTCCAAGGTACAGTCCGGCAAGCCCACGGCGGCGCGGGCGCGAGTCGTGGTGGTGGTGGTGGTGGCGTACGGAGTCGGCGTCCGCGAGTAGCGAGTGTTCCAAGGCGCCGGTCGGGGAGGTGACTCCAGTCGCTGGGGCGCAGTGGTTGGTCGGGCGGTGGTGGTGGGTGAGTAGACGGACACTTCCACACGTGAAGGGGCTCGGTACTCGGCCACAGGTTCCTGCTGCTTCCGGGGCGTCTCGGGTCTCTGGGGCGTGTTCGGTTGCAACGGAGTCTCCGGTCGCAAGGGTGACTCTGGCCGCTGCGGCGACTCCAGTCGCTGGGGCGTGGTCGGCTGCAGGGGCATCTCCAGCCGCACGGGCATGTCCAGGCGCTGAGCCGTCTCCACCCATGTGGAGGGGTCCAGCCAACTGGAGGAGTCCAACGTAATAGATGGTTCTGCTTCATGCGCTTCTTCCCAGACGACTTCGGGTTCCGGCGCCGGCGCCGGCTGGCGAGAGCCAGCGGTCGTTCTGGGGCCAATGATGGTCGTCTGGGCCGTGGAGAAAACAGGCGCTTGGATGGGTCCTTCGTGCAAATTCGTGACGGCCGCGAAGTGGGCATTCGGAACCGGTGAGAGAGGAGTGGTCGCAGCTGGAGTGAAGGATGCGCTGGCAGCCGGAGCAAAGGGCGTGAAGGGCAGCGGCGCACTGGGCGAGAGCTGGGGTGTGAGTTGAGGTGTGAGTTGGGCGGTATTGGGCGACAGGAGTTGTGCGTTGGGGTCGTGGAAGATTTCCACGCAGTTTTCGTCGTCGTCGTAACACTCCAACACCGAGATGCCTTGGAAGACCTTGGTCTTCTTGCCGCCCTTGGAGCTTTGTTTCTGAGCACGTTCGTTGCGATGTTCACTGCCCGCTTCAGTCGCGCGATCCGAGCCGCGTTCAGAGCCCCCCGCTCTGTCCGAAGTTCTGCCGTTGCGGTTCGACCGGGATGGCGGCGGCTTCGGGGTCGGAGTGGTGGAGGTAGAGGTCATCGACTCGGAGAACCATTCTCCCGAGGTGCCGTCGCCCCCCGAGAGGTCTTCCCCCGCGGTGCTACTGCCTCCTGCCGAGCTGGTTCCCGAGTTGCCACCTGAGCTACCGTCAGGACTGCCACCCGAGCGATTGCGTTGGCTATTCTGTTGCAGGTTAAGGTCGTAAGTCCAGGTCCCGTCCTCCCTTTGTTGCGGAATCAGGACGGTCTCGTTGAGCGTTACTGGGGCGCCCATGGGTGCGAAGTTGAAGGGGCCCGTCGGCGGGAGCAGCATCGGTACGGGGACGCCGGGGGGCAGACTGTTAGGGAAGCCTGGGAAGAGCATTTGGAAAGGGAATTGAGGAGTAGGAGTGGTGGTGGTGGTGGTGGTTCCGTAGGTCTGCATGATGGTCTGCAGGATCATTTTGGTGACCTGCTCGATGGTGGGACCGGCTGGTGCCACCGGAGCCGGTGTGGGCAGCTCAGTGGGACTCGGCGGCACGCTGATGGTGATTACCGGGTAGCCGTTTTCCGTACTCTGCGTCACGGCGGCGTCGCTTGCCTCGACCTCAATTGTGACTCCGGGTTCGGCTCGATGATATGCCGAGTCCTGACGCACAACCACGGGCTGCACGACCGCCACGGGCGGGGTCGGAGCCACAGGCGGAGACGCAACGACGGGCTGGATATACTGCGGTCGCGTTTCATGTACAACAGGGACCTCTCGAACAACAGGGACCTCCCGAACAACGGGTACCTCCCGAACAACCTCCTCGATAATGACTTGTGGCGGTTGTTGTTGATACGTCACAGGCTGTTGATACGTCGCTGGCTGTTGGTACGGGACTGGCTGTTGGTATGGGACTGTCTGTTGGTACGTCACTGGCTGTTGGGATACCATTGGTTGTTGGTAGGCCATAGGTTGTGAAACCGCGACAGGTTGTGAGAGCACAGGGGGGGGCTGGTATGGGGGGGGTCTGTGCACGGGTCCCGGAGTGGCGTAGAGGGTGGGTTCTTTGATGATGCGGAGCGCGTTGGACCTGACGCTCTGGCAGGGGTAGGCGGTCTTAAGTTTATTTCCATATTTCTTGATGACCAATTGTTGACGTTTGGACCAAGTGGTTGGTTGGTTCCTGGAGGTGGGTGTGCGGTTGAGTTCGACAACGTCAATGGCACAGTCATGCCAATAATAGTTGCGATCGGCGACGGAACTGAGTTCCTTACCTTCGGTGACGCTGAGTTCTATTTTGCAGGCGTCTTCTGTGGCGAAGAAAATACACACGTGTTTCTCAAGGGACGGATAGACCGCACTGAAGGTGTCTGCCCAGAGCAGCGGTGAGACCAGCAACATGTCAGCGGCCATCTCGGGGCCCATTTCGGATGGCTGTAGCTTCGCAGCCTGCTCCACCAACTTAACAACATATTGTACAAATAAATTCGTGGCAACGCTCATTAAGTCCAGATCGTCGGGCTCCAGGAGATTGCATACCCGCTCCAGAGTCCCTGTGGCGTGAGCAGAGGTCACCAGTTTCTGATTGTCCACGTTCTGCAGCCGACTCAGGACCTGCTGCATCAACCCGTCCTCTGCATTGCCCGGCTTTATCCGATACGCCATCTTTGCGATCTGCATCCGGAAACTTTCTACACAGTCGTCCACACTGTCCGCCGGTTTCTTGTTCCCTCTTGCCGCACCCACCAACTGCTCATTCCAACCATCAGACACAGCGCTATATCCACGGACCTGGAGAAAGAGACAATTATCCAACAACCAAACCAAGTCCAGATTCCCAAACTGACAGGCGTCAAACCGACAGGCGTCAAACCGACAGGCGTCAAACCGACAGGCGTCAAACCGACAGGCGTCAAACCGACAGGCGTCAAGCTTGATAAACACGAAACCGAAAATTCGTAGCGAGACACCCGCCAGCACCAGCCACAAAATCAACAACCAAGAAACGACTTACAAGAATGCTACCCAGCAGACATGCCAGTAGCCACATTATCTTCCACCGTGTTCGAAACCGGTTTGCACACGCGTGCGCGAATGAATTGGCAGTATAAAAACTAAGTAGCGAAACGCGTAAATATTATAGCAACGCAGCCACAGGCTGTCTATATAGTAGCGATCCAGCCACATCCAGGAAACCACAGTTGAAATCCTGAAGAGATATAATGGTTTGCTCAACATCCTCATTAGTGACGGACGAGAAGGTTACGACCTCATTATGGTCCGTAGATTTGAAAGTTCCATTGCTAACGTCGTAGGCCAAATTGATTATGCTTCGATCCGTGCGGTTCAACACAATCACACACGGAACATGTACCTCACGGACATCGGGGAGCGACCTGACCAGTGACTGAACGCCTTCCACGATCCGTCCTAGAATTCGAAACTCACGGTTGCCCACGAATCCAGTAAGACAGTCCCGACTATTGAAGCGAAATCCAGCGGTTCTCGATGCAAATGGTTCAGGTCCAATCGTTACAACCGAGGGTGTTCCTGTCCCCCCGGGGGGGCCAGAGGATGTTCCTGTCCCCCGGGGGGGGCCAGAGGGTGTTCTTGTTGACGTCGATACGCAGGTGTTACGAGTTCCCGTTGGCCCCATCATTCCTACTTTTCCTATCATTCCTACTGTTCCTAACATGCCTTCCGGAATTGACGTTTCATACGCCGCGTTGCTCGCAGAAACAACGTCTCCAACCACTATGGGATATGGCTGATTCGGGGTCATGATCTCGATCTGATCAAGCGACTCATTAAGGACAGTACCAGACCGACACTCAGCCAACCGACTATCACAAGCGTTAGGTCGTCCTGTTGGTTGTTCGGGCGCTTCCAGAAGTTGCAAATCCGAGACGCCGATCGTTTTTTCAGTTTCAATTGATTCTTTCCCGTTGTTACTGATTTCAATATCAACCACCTCCGTATCAACCGTTAGTCCTTCTCTTATTCCACCAGGATGGTGGTCGACAATTTGAATCGATCCTTCACCCAATCCAGAAGCTAAAACGAGCGTCAGAAGCCCCGGAGATACTCCTTCAGCCGCATAGATCGACTTCATAATTTTTTAATAATGTATCACGGCCATTCCTTACCCCGCCATTCCTCAGCCAGTGGCCGGACAGCCAGTGGCCGGTCAGCCAGTGGCCGGGCACATCCTCTCCAGGCCCCTCCCGTCTCATTCTTCTTCACCCCTTCTCGAAACAGACAGTCTGGCGTAATCCCAGCCTGCGAGCTCGGAAAAATCCTGCTCGTAGCCCAATCCAGTACCCGCTGAATTTGAACCACAGGTAACCGGTTGCCACTCTCTGTGGCAATGCCGCGTTTCCTCTTCTACCTTGTACTCTGGTGGGTAGCCTGTACTCTTGCCATTACCTTGGAATACCTTGGAATACCTGGGAATATGGCTTGGTAAAAAAACTTGGAAGGAAGAGAAGCGCGAAGTCTGTGCTTTATAGTTAGTAGACGTATCCATTAGGAGATCGGTAGTGTGTCTAGTGTTTCCAAGAGGTGTCGATGGAGACGGCAGTGAGTACGACGGTTGGTGCATTGCGGGATGTGGCATGTCAGGGAATGACGAATGCTGAGGATTTATTGGCTGAAGATGAGTCGAGCCGAGGGGGGGCATGGCGGCATTTGGAGGGTGTTTTCCATCGGAGTGGTGGGGGTGAGGAGATTGTGGCTACCCGATATCAGCCGGTAGTGAGCATGAAGGAGTATGAGCATTTGTGTGTGCTCGCGCGCCAAGATCTTGAGAACAAGAGGTACGGTGGTAGTGGTATGCGACCTTATGTTCTAAAGTTATCACAGCTCGAGTTCACCAACGTACCTGACGGGGGCACAAACTATGTTTTGGAATTCCGGTTAGGTGTCCAAGGTCAAACCGTGTGTGTGCGAACAAGTACCGACAAACACGTGCCTGTGTCCACAGGCTTTCGGAACGACGATTACCAAGTTGCCAGCATCAGCATGCGTTGCGCCCGTGGACAGACCGTGGCAGTTAACCGGACATGGAATCTGGATTGGCGCGGCCACTACGCCGACCTGCATCGCGAATTTCTAGAGATCATAATTTATCAGAAGAACTACTTCATCATTCAAGAGGAAGTCGGTCGTCATCGGATCATTCTAGACGAACTCATCAACAGTACATTAGCGCAGAATATTAACATTCCACCACTGAAAAAAAAACTGACCAAGCCAATTCGTCAACCAGCAGAGACAGATACGAATGACTTCACTGGCATCACGAGCGCAAATACTGCTGTAGGTAGCGGTAACGGGTTGAACGACAACGATGTTATGTTGGCTAGCGACGATCACTGCTTCAAACTGTCCTTTGTCGCTGATTTTAGTGAACTTTTCACGTTCCAGATTGGTCTTGGGCAGTGTTCAATTGACCTCAGAAACTGTGTTACCGGAGAGATACAAAGGTACGAAAGTTACAAGGTGCTCCTCTCATGCCGCAAAAAGGAAGGGTACTTCCCTTACCAAGACGGTGAGTGGTTCCCGACAAAGAGCGCTATAATACACAAAGAGTGTCCCACCCTCTTGGAGTACGACGAACCCGGACAACTTTTGTGGAGAGGCACCCTACAGACATTTTCCTATATGGACATTGTACTGACTTTGCAAGCGAAGCCTCGAGCTGGGAAATGGGAAAGTTTTGCATACTCTGTGTTTCCTTGCTATCGATTCCTAAATGTGGAGAAAGAAAGTTTCTCAAATGTGATTATGAAGAAGGGAGGACATGAGACCGGTGGTGGGCTGCCTTCGCCAAGTGGGTCCATGAGAAGTCCTGAATCGTCCCCGGGTGTTAGGGATAAGGGACAGACTCGGCGGCTGAGTGAGACCAGCGGGTTGCCCGTTCTTTCTGGCACAATTGGAGTTCCTTTGAAGCCTACGTTTACGCAGAAACTGGGGGACATGGATACAGGCAAGGCTCCGGCACATTTAGCAGTGAAAATACAGAGTTTTTCGGGCATCAATTTGTCCGTCACAGGCCCGATTTATTACACCATTGCTTTGATCGACAGTCCGTTGCCGCCGGGATGTATGCTGCCGGGATGTATGCTGCCGGGATCTATGTTGCGTGGTTCCTCTCCGGCAACCTTGGCTGGAGAAACGCCTGTTGGACGAGAGTCCCCGACCCGAGGGGTTCAGGAAGAGTTCATAGTGGCCCATTCACCTATAACTCGTTCATCCAACGTGGCGTTACGAAATATACCGACGGCGTTATTCAGCAACAAACCGCGACGTCGTTTACTACTTCGAAATAATCACCCATCAACATCACCCGACGAGTCACTGGTTCCCTTAATCAATAAGGGGGCAGTACCGGATCCAGATGATGTCATAGCGTTGCAACAATGGTTGGAGAAGCATTCAATTGTTATTTGTCTTTGGTCAGGTAGTGATAGTCCTCCAAATACTACAGAGGGGGCCGTTCCCCGTGAGGTCTTTTCTTCAGAGGCCTTCCATACCGTCCGGAAGCCTTTGGGACATTGTACACTGAGACTTATCGATGTCGTGAACACTATTTGTAACCTACGCCCAGGCTCTGGTAGGGCCGTCATGGACCTCCCCATCCGACTTCTTAAACAAGGTTCAGATACTGCTCGGGCTGGTATTGATCTCCGCCTCGCACTCTCTATGCACCCTGTACCCAAATGCGCCGGCTTCCAGGTCAGACACATTAGTCTTAACCCAGCTCCCACCAACTCTACTTATTGCCTCACCAATGAATTCGGACGCACCCAATCACTCTTCTCAGCACTCACTCTACACAGTCTACCGAACGTCGCGCAAAAACTCAGTCCCTATGACCTCGGCCGAAGTGTCCGTCTTCAAAACAGAAACAATGATTTCTTCCTTAACCCGTCAACTTGCGCCTACACAGGCTACGGGAACCAAAGAGATATCGCTATCCTTGTCACCGCCATCGGACTGTAATAACTCCACACCATTGGGGCACCATTGGGGCACATTGGGGCACACACACACCATTGGGGGGGGGGGCACACACCATT